ATCATTACTCTCTAATAAATTCTTAAATCTCTTTGGCTCTTCCCCATAAAATGGAATAGGATTAAGGGCTCACACAAGACCAATCTACTGTGGAACTAAAATGATATAAAACCCAAAATTTGTCTACCTAAACCTAACCAAGTTTCTATTCAACTCCATGCTATCACAATTAAAATTTGAACAAAGCACAAGAGAAAAATAATTTCATTCACTGACATAGAATATAAGTTTTTCTAAAATCATGTCTTTTTAGTGATGAATCAATTTTTTGTGCGAAGTATCTCGTCATTCGGTCTGCTTCTAAGTGGCCGATGACTCAGAGGTCGAAGTGAACTTTTGCTGGATGAAGACCTGGATGTCGAGCTGACTAGGTCGAGCTGGAGGCAGATCAAGTGCCGAGCTAGGGTCGAGCTGGGGGCAGACTAGGTGCCGAGCTAACTAGGTCGAGTTGGGGGCAGATTAGGTGCCGAGTTAACTAGGCCAAGCTGGGGGTAGATTAGGTGCCGAGCTAGGGGCAGATTAGGTGTCGAGCTAGGTAGCTCTTTAGAAAAACCTACAAGGAATCAATGTCAGAGGACCCGGGGTGCCTAACCCGATGAGGTCACTCCGATGATTAAGTTAGTATTCTCATAGTAGATTTCGAGCTAAAAAATCATAAAGTATGAGATCTAGAATATGCTTACTTGCCCCCCTGTGTCATTGGGGTTGGTGACTTTATATAGGCATTGTTTGGCGTGGGCTTCACGCATTGCATCCGAGATTTCTGAGAGGTCGCCTAAGTGGTCCAAGATCCCTGGAGGTAACCCCGCCACGCACGTTGGCCATCCTCCGGAACACTCGATACGTTTGCCAACTTCCAAGGATCGTGGGAGTGTTGGGATATGCATGCCGAATTTGTCGGCGAGCACGTCTCGTAGGTCGCCACTTGGACCTCATCAAGCCAACACACCCTCGAGGGAGATTGCTCCTTGCGTCGAGGTCACTTCGGCCAGTGATGAGGTGTTGTAGGTCGGCCCTAGACGAGGTGCTTCTAGCCAACCTGACTTGTGGTCGAGGTCGCCGGGTCGACGGTGAAGGTAGGTCACCAAGTCACCAGATGGGACACCATCATCTTGGCTAAGACAAGTTGTTGCCTAAGTGGTTCCGGGTGCCACCCAATTGTTCCGAAATGCCATGTATCACAATATCATTAGAGGGCCAAATCTCAACTCCATGCTACCACAATTAAAATTTGAACAAAGCACGAGAGAAAAATAATTTCACTCACCGACACAAAGAATATAAGTTTTTCTAGTATCATAGTCAAACACTAAAATCTATCATTACTCTAATAAAATCATTTTTAACCACTTAGAAGTTTTATTTGGCTCCATCCTAGAAGTATGTACTTTCACATCTTCACAATATATGTTAAAGCCACCTCATCAACATTTAAAATTTTAAATAAAACAAGGAAGGGTAGCCTTGTCATCCACCATTGAAAAAGGGAAAATGCATACATCTAGGATGGAGCAAATTTTTTTTCTCCTCTTAGCCTTTGGTGGGTTAAATGCAATTTTATTCGCACTAGTATAGATGCATGGGAGTGCAAATGAAAAAAATGCGAATTCTGATGTAATTTTGTTTTAGGTTTTGTTTTATTTTGTTCCAAGTCTTATTTTACTTCATTTGCTCTACATTCTTAAAAATTGCAACAAAAATAAATCAGAACTTTGCACTCAAAATTATCTGCATTGCAACCAAACCAAGCCTAAGGCTCTATTTGGAAGGAGTACAAATACAGATATGTAGAGTTCAAAACCTTATATTTTGCATTATGTTGTATGTATTTGTATTGTATATATTTGTATTTGTGGCTCAATTTGGAAGGAGTACAAATACAAATATATACAATGTAAATACATACAAAATACAAGATTTTACACTCTAAACATTTGTATTTATACTCTTTCCAAACTGAGCCTATACTCTTTCCATACTGAGCCTAGGATTCAATTTGAAAATATTGCAAATACAAGATTTAGAAAATACCTGATTCAAGCATACTTATATTTACACTTCTCAAACTAAGTATCTTTGAATTCCTTTTAACCCTCCAATAAATTAAGGGGGCATGAAATCGATGGATTGAATATGATTAAGGATTAGCCCAACACCAACCTAAACATGGACCTTAACCTATAAATAAAAATGATATTAAAATTTAAATTTTTCGATCCAAACCTAACCAAATCTCTCTTCAATTTCATATATTATATACACGTTATATAGGTTTACTTACTAATATATATACAGATTTTCTACTCGTATCCTATCCACAGTCCATTGCAGCTGCACATCACACAACACAAGATGATGGCGATGTATGATTAAAATTCTAGGCGGGGTATGGTGTGGGTAGAGAATAGTGGGCAGGAAATCCGGTTTGCATCCTACCACGATTACACTCCGAACAAAGCGCAGAAGAGGGATAATGCAGTAATGCAGTTCCCTCACCGACACAAGTTTGGAGGGTTGGTGAAGTCGAGTAAATTTATGGGATTTACATATCAAACCGACAAAAGGATGGTGACTACAAAAACGATGCATATTTGAGGGGACCATTAATTATAAAGCAAATGAAAAGTGATTATTTGACCAAACATGTAAAATAATTCATTAATTTTATTGTTTTATTATCATAGGTTTACCATCAAAAGAGGAAGGAGAAGTACAACAACCCTTAACGATGAGGTTTTGTATGGTTATCTAGCAACTACCCAGTAATAAAAAGCTTTTAATGGTTAAGCATGTGATGTCATTGAAAAGGGAATCTATTGTTTAAAAGAAATTATGTATTTGGTCTGCAAACCAAATAAAAAGATTCATCAATTAATTTGCATTCTTTTTTTTTATTTATTTATATTGCACAGAAAGCCAGAAGGCCCTGACGATTGATCCCCATGTGGCGAGCTTGGCAGCTTGAATTACACAGAAGTGTTTACAATATTTTAATATTGTTACATACAACAAGGCATTCGGTTGGAGTAATTGTTAGTACAAAATACGAGGGTTGAGGTTTCTTCTCGGTCAATGAAATGTTTCCTCAGAAACATATAAAATAATTACATGGTCTTCTGATACTAGTAGCTCTCTTTCTCTCTCCTAATTTATTAACTTTAACGGTGAAGCCCACAGGCAACAAGGCCATGGAGTGGTGGTTTTCAGTGATGCATTGGGAGTACTGATGAACAGAGCATACCTGTACAAGGGCTGAAACAATGGGAATGGGATTATCCCCTCAGTTGTTAATATTGAGGGTCCGTTTGGAAGGGGTTCGGTTACTTTGAAGCATTTCGGGTAAGTTTTCTAAAGAGATTAAAACAGACAGCCCTAAAAATGATTAACTATGGGTTTGGTTCTGTTATTTTTGTTGAGTAAACACTGTTACATAGGCATCCCATCAATAAAGGTCTCATTAATTATATTCATACATATCGATGTTTGTAAAATGTCTATTTCTGTGCAAGTCTCCCATTTCAGGAAGTTTCAATTTAGAGTTTCCTGAAACGGGTAAACGTTTATTGGCATTATGCTGATGTGGTGCCTAATGGCACCTATGTGTCATAAACACCTTCATTGATTGTTTTTCTCGGTTTTACAATCACCCAAGTATAAACGTTTACTCAATAAAATATAAACAAAACCAAACACCCTCTAAGTGCCCATTTGAGAAGACTTTTACGCAGCAGTTTCTTGCATTGCATAGTAAGCTCTACAAGGAAAGCTGTGAAACCATGCACCAGTTCGGAGGACTTTCATACAGTGGCTTCTGGCATTGCAACGTGAGTTCCATTCAGAAAGATTGGTTATGTTTGGTGAAAAACATGAAAAGCTAGAATATGGTTTAATTAAGCTAATAAATCGATTTTCTATAGTATACTTGAATTGGAAATTTGATAGTTTCTTCAAAACAGTTCAACCAACTGAAGCCCTCCCAAATGAATTGGCTTTCTAAATTTTCCACCAATCATAGCTTGTAAGTTGTTAGCTGTCCGTATGGAGCCCACCTCGGAGCTGAGTGAGGGTGGAACAACCGGGACTAGTTTAGAACCTTAGGTCCCATAACATATATTTAATTGTCAGTAAAGTTGGTTTGAGTGTCCAAATTTTTAAAGAGAGTAATATAAGTTTAAGTTTGATAGAAGTTATTTTCAATATTTTGATTATTTTTAATTTAATTTATTAATATTATTCAATACCCAAATTCAATTGGGGTACCATCTGAATCAGTTTAAAAAATTATTAGATTCAAATCCAATTACTAATGGATCTGAATCCCATGTCCAATCTAGGGCAAGTTATAAAGTGAAAACATGATTAATCGATAGAGTTCCCTCTCCACTGGATCGGAATATCTATTCTGGGGAGCCCCTTCCACGGTTCCACCTCCAACCTCACCCTTATTTCTAAAGTGGAGGCATGAGGCCAGTTTATAAAGACAATAACTCTTAGCCTCTTACTACTTTACTAGGGAGCGTTTGGAACTGCAATAAAGAAAAGCAATTATCTGGCTTTTGGCTTCAAATTGGTCGTCACACAGGGCTTTCTGACCATTTCCTCTGGCGTTGCTGTAAAGCGTAAAAGGGTTTTCTCTCCTTTATAAAAAGGATAAAATCAGAACAAAATATCTTAAACTTTTGGATTAAAGGTAAAACCCAACTTATTACTTTTGCTCAATTGCAATGTCAAACGCAGATTTCTTCTTTAGTTAATTGAAATTATGTCTTACGCTATAACAATTTTGTGCTTGAAGTACAATACGCACTCCAAACTGCAACGTGCGAACTGCGAACCCGACAGGATAATTGCGAAAGAATGCAAAAAGAATATAGAAATGGAGCTGAGTCGAATCAAGCCGAGCCGACGACCGCGCAATTGCTCTCTCTCTCTCTCTCTCTCTCGTTCGAAACAAAAGAAGTGGGGCTTCTTCCAAAGGTCTCTCATCTCTCTGTTCTTAACTGCTTATATTTATTTAAACAAATCTTCTTATTCTTTTCGCCCCAAAACAGAAGCTTTTAATTTCTTCTTTTACCGCGTCCACCATGGAACTGATCTGAAGGGAGCATTCAGAAGTTTCAGCCATGGACGATAACACCACCAATCCTTCTCGGCCATCTCTTCTTTCTCTTCCTTACCATTTGCAGAAGATGAAGTGCTCTCTTTTCGCTTTGCTCTTCTACTTTCCCCCATCTCTGCTCGTTCTCGTCCTACTTGTGCTTTTGGCATACAATAGTGCCAGCATTTTCTGTGTTCAAGTCCATTTTCCGGCAGAAATCACCCCCGAATCCCATAGTTTCTCCCTAGAAAACGCAAACGCAGTTGGAGATACAGCACGAAAATGGTCTTCCTCTTCGTCTTCGTTATCCTCCTCCGTCATGTACGCCGTCAAGGAAGAAATCCCACCTTCTAAACTGAAGTCCCATTTGCCGCTATTGCAAGAACCTAAGTCTTCTTCAGTTCTTTCATTTAACTCTTTTCCGACTCACAGACCAAGGAGGTCGAGAAAGAATAAGATGGTGGTATTCAAGCATTTGCAGTCCTCCAACCTGTCAAGGCAATTTTCTGTGAGAGTGAACGAATTCTTTCACGGGTCTTACTTGAATTCTTCCAATTCTTCTTATTGCAAGGTTCGTTTCTTCATGACTTGGATTTCTTCTTTGGAGTCGTTTGGTCACAGAGAGTTGTTTGCAGTAGAGAGTCTTTTTAAGTCACATCCAAATGCTTGTCTGCTGATAGTCTCAAATTCCTTGGATTCAAAAGGAGGAACCCAACTCCTAAAACCGTTCTTAGACCAGGGATTCAGGGTCGCTGCAATTTTCCCTGATTTCAGCTACATCTTCAAGGATACATATGCTGAAGTTTGGTTCAATCACCTAAGGAAGGGGAATGTCGATCCTGGGGAGGTTTCCCTTGGTCAGAACCTCTCCAATTTGCTTAGGCTCGCACTCCTATACAAGTATGGTGGAATTTATATAGACAGCGATGTTATAGTCTTGAAGAGCTTCTCTAATTTGAGAAATGCCATAGGAGCACAGACCGTTGATCTTAAAACTGGACATTGGAGTCGGTTGAACAACGCTGTTCTGATATTTGACAAGATGCATCCACTCCTTCACAAGTTCATCGAGGAATTCGCACTCACCTTCAATGGAAATAAGTGGGGCCACAATGGGCCTTACCTGGTTTCAAGGGTAGTTTCAAGAGTGGGAGAAAGACCTGACTTTAATTTCACTGTGTTGCCGCCGTCTGCATTTTATCCAGTTGATTGGAGTAGGGTCCGAAGCTTCTTTCATGGACCCCGAGGCAGTGCCCATTTAAAATGGATGTCTTCAAAGCTCAGGCACGTTCGCGAACAAAGCTTTGCCGTTCACCTATGGAACAGGCACAGTAGAAAGATGAAGGTTGAAGAAGGGAGCATCATCAGTCACATAGTGTCGAACTGCTGCATCTTCTGCAACCATAAAGTCTCAGTCTCATAGGTATGGAAGAAGGATGAAGCATATGTATGGACCAACTCAGTCCATTACATCGTTAGTCTTGTAAAATTATGGACCAAATCAGTCTATCTCGACTCCTCTTCTTTTCCCATGTCCCCATCCGGTAGTGTGGTTATGGACCAACTCAGTCCATAACATCGTTAGTCTTGTAAAATTAAGGAAAATAAAATATTTTTTCTTTTAATCAGTCGTAATTTCAGTATAAGGAACATCTGGGTTTCTGTAATTTGTGTTGTATCTTCTTGCAAGATCAATTAAGGCATTTTGCATTTACAGGAAGACAATTTCATTTGTTCTCAGATTCCATATTATCTACAATGTCTGCAAGGTCTATGAGATTCTTTGAAATGAGATTTAAAAGGAAAATTCAACGTGTCATTTCAACATGAACAAAAATAAGAGCATTACCTCTATATGTCTTTCTTATCTAAAGCCAACTAGATAAACAAGTAGATGGGAGTTTTTATCTGTAAGGCTGTCTTTGGTTCCTCGGAGAATAAGTGAGAAAGGAAAAACTTTGGGAAAGTCCTCAAGGCATCGTACAAAACAAAGCATAAATTTCTATCAGATCTGGGGTCAACTAGGTAAACAACTTACATGGGTGTTTTCTCAGCCTTTCTTTTCTTTCTGATGTAGAAGTCAAATTTAACAATGGATATGGCACTGAACAGAACGGAATGGCAGAACAGGGTTTATGTTTCTGACCCAATACAGTTGAGACAAGGCTTAGATGAAGATGATATAAGTCAGATTGATGTTTGGCTTCTGGTGCTAATACTAAAATCCCTATATTAAAATCCTTGTTCTCCCTTAGCTCAGTAACTTCTAAGTTTGGCTTCTGCTTCCATTCCTATTGAGTAATTCATTTTTGTTTTGTGGTATGACGCGGAGTCTTATTTTGTCCTTATTTTACATGAATGTCCACTGAACCGGCATAGCAGCAATTTTCTTTTCTTTTTTTTTTCTCTTCTTTTGGTACAGAAAATTTATGAAGTCCACTTCTAGGCTCATACTTTGTGCTTCACTACTTTCATTTTGCCTGTAAGTTGATTTATCAAATTTCTGATTTGTGTATTTGCTGTTATTTTTGGAGGTGCCCATTTATTCTTTTTCTTTCTTCTCTTTTTTGCTTAGTTTACCTGGGGGTGGGGAATGGGTAGGAAAATCAATGTCTCAGTGGTTGATTATAGATAGCAAATCTTTCCTCAGAGTTTGATGAGTTCCCTTTTTCACAGGGTAAAGGCTTTTCTTTTTCCTTTGGTTTGGCCAATTGTGACTGCACACCCATGCTATCACAGTTATGACTTAAAAAGAACACTTAGCATAATGACCCCTGACACCCTTTCTGGATGGCGACCAAAGCGGTAAGCAGGTCAAAACCTAAAGTCCTTTTAAATAAGAAAAGCCTGCCCTCCCATAATATAAACAAGGGGCAAGAAATTTTTGTTCTTTGTTCTCTTGAACCAAAAAAAGATAATAATAGCAACAGCGATGCAGATTGTCAACAACTAGAGCATCCCATACAGGTTTTGGTGATATTGAATAATTCGACTGGGATTAATTAAAATATAAAATTAATTCTAGCTCTACAGAGCTCATCATGAGATATAGAGGGGGGATGAAAATAAGGATGAATACAGAAGAAAATCCTCATTTAAGTCATAGGGTCCCGTTTCCTTTTATGTTATCATTCTCTTTCTGTGGTTTTATTAATTAAGTATATAAATTAACATGAAACTGTTAGATCAGTAATTCAGGACGCAAGGTGTCGGTGCCAATAGGTGGGCAAATCTTCAGGTGGAATCAGTCTTATGGTTGATAGCCTCATATTGTGGTGTCCAGATTTTCAGAGGATTTTATACCTTGGGGATGCTGGTCATGTTTAAAGAGGGACATCACTTGGATGATGTTTTCCATGTAACTTTTAGTTGGCAAATTTATTCCCTACCTGTGAATAAAACAAAATCCACCATGATTTCCTCTTCCTTTCAGCTTGTTTTTTTTTTTATTGATAAGAGTTACATCACCAAAACACTTGGGACAATAAGTAATTTTCCAATATAAAGACCAAGAAGAAAGTAGCTTAGCTGTGATCTCAAGCCCATGTAAGAAAAGACCCCACATGTATCAACTAAACTTAAAAGGTCTCTTGTCAAGTTTTTAAAAGCTTCAGCTGTTGTTGCTGCAGCAGTCAAATAATTTTTTTATCCTCTTTAGACATAATCTAAGTTGAATCAAGACTTGTGCCACCTAAATAGTCCAAGTTCACAAGATAAAAGTAGCAAATATGTTTCACATTTATGTTAGATTTAAGTTCTCAAAAAGAAAGAGGTAAAGTTAAACATGAGCTTGTGCAGCAGATTTTATTCTAATTTAACTCTTTTGCATGGATACAAGTGTCAGAACCTGACACAGGTAGTGAGGTAGATTGTTTCAGATATGGAACACACAAAATACTAGGGTTCAGGGATTTGGGACTTGGGAGTTATATTTTAACTTTTATGTCTTAGTTTAGATTACATATTTTTATGTAATATGCATGATGGAATAATTGTTGGAAAGGGACAAATTAAATGTGGAAGAATAAACCAAAGCAAACAATTAAAACAATGTATAATTGATTACTATCAAGTATAATAAATAAACATCTCATGCCCAAACTTTCCCTAATAGGTTCGAGAGCAGCCACTTTGTGAAAAATAAAAAAGCGCCAAAGGTTAGGACTATATCCAGTCTAGCCCTCCCAAGACCCCAGATAGCTGGACCAACATTAGGTAATGGCTTCACTGAGAGAGAGTCCTCTTAAGTTTTCATCAGTGTCAATATCCATAGATGTCCTACATGGGTATGGCATTCATTTGAGGTGTCCACTTAACATAACTATTCGATAATTTCCTTGTGTAAATTTTTTTCAACATTGACCTCACACAGTCGGGGGCATTAGATTTTGAAGAAAAGGAACTTCTCTGAAGCATTAGAAGGAGCAATAAGACCAGTTAACTTAAGGATGTGTAGTTTGCACCTGAAGAAAGAATCATGCATTATGTCTCATTTTCTTACAAATATCAAAGGATACAGCTCCAGAGGAAGACAAGTACATTAAAATCTGAATAAATTCATGTAAACTTATGACTCATTTCCCTACAAATATCAAATCATACATCCCCAGAGGAAGACATGCACATCAAAATCTGAATAAATTCCTGTGCAGTTTGCACCTGAAGAAAGAATCATGTATTATGTCTCATTTACATACAAATATCAAAGCATACAGCCCCAGAAGAAGACATGCACATCAAAATCTGAATAAAGTCATGTAAGCTTATACTAAACTACAAGAATATAACTTCAGGAAAAAATGACCTCTGCATCTCTTTAAGTCATTTATCTCTTAAATGTAGCAGCAAGGGTTCTACTTTAAATCCTGTACTTCCAAAATGTGGCAGGATTTTCATTGGATCACTTTTCTTGAAGAAAAGACTGCATCATTTTTCAGCCAGTTGCATGCTTTTATAACTGCTTGAATGTTATCATCATGAAACTAAACCCCAAGCAGTCGTTCTTTTGGCAGTAGACGCTCTACATCTCTTAGTTGAACTTCACCTTTGTGTTCTCCCACATTTTGAAATAGCAACTCTATCTGCTCTAGGGATTTTCCCTTTGTTTCTGGAACAAATTCATAAACAAAGATGATGGAGAGGACTGAGATCACAAAAAAGATGAAGAACGTTCCTGCCACTGTGATGGCATGAGCAACAGAAAGGAAAGACATGGCAACCAGGCCGCTGCATATTCGGTTCCCTACTGCCCCAAGGGCTGCAGCTTGAGCTCGCAGTCTCAGAGGGAAAATTTCAGATGGCAATAGCCAGGAAATTGGGCCAATTCCCATTGAGAAGAAAGCTACATACCCAGAAACCACAAAAATCACCAGCACAACTGTAACTTCTCCATGTTCCATTGAAGAGAGAGCAAGGCTTAATACAAGCAAACATGCTGTCATCCCAATTGTGCTCACATACAGAAGTGGCTTTCTTCCAACTCTGTCAATGAGAAAGATAGCAACCAAGATGAAAGAAGTCTTGGTAAACCCAACAGCAACAGTTGCAGCAAGAAGTGTACCATTTTCCCTGATCCCAGCTTCTTTAAAGATTGTGGGGCTGTAATACACAGCTGCATCAATACCTGTCATCTGTTGGAAACATTGGATTCCAAGACCAGCAATCAGCATTTGCCGAAGTGAAGGGGAAGGCCTCAAGAATTCACTCCACACAGCTTTCTCTGAATTAGCCATCCCTGCTGCCTGTCGTATATCTGCCAGCCTCCGTTCTGCCTCATTCTCATTCTCATTTGTTTTTAGCAAGATCGTTCTTGCTTCTTCAACCTGGTTCTGCATTACCAACCATCTGGGAGACTCAGGGATGACAAACAAAGCAACCCCAATAAATACTGAAGGGATAATTCCTACAGCAAGCATTATTCTCCAACTTATGTTTGCTGAGAATCCTGAAAATGCATAGTTTGAGATGTAGCCGAGAAGGATCCCCAGATTCAAAAAAATTTCAGGGAAGGCGGTGAGAGATCCACGGGCAATGGATGGTGATATTTCAGCGATGTATACAGGGGCAATCATGACTCCAAAGCCAATTCCAATCCCAGCAAACAGTCTTCCAATCATGAGTACTTTGAAGGAAGGAGCAAGAGCCATTATAGCAGCACCCATTTGAAAGACAATGGCTGCCAGGGCCATGGTCCATTTCCTACCAATGGCGTCTGAGGTTATTCCACCACCTAAACTACCCAGAAGTGAAACAATGCTCAAAATCCCAACAAGAACTTCTACTTGTACCTCTGTTATCTTCAGATCCTCCTGCATGAATATGATTGCTCCACTCATGACACCTATATCTACAAATGGAAAAGACCCCGAGCTAAGTTGCAAGTTCACTTTCATAGTTCCATAACCAATTATAGAAACAGCACCAAAAAAATGGGATATGAAGTTTTGTTGCAAATAGCATCATCAAATAATAAGCTGCTGCTGCTGTTGTCCAGTACAACAGGAAAAAAATAATAAGCTGTTAGATGAAAATTTCCCTAGATGATTTTTCTCCAATAAGAAACAATTTTGATGATTTATAGAGATTCTCTTTCTTATTATCCTAACTTTAGTGCTAGCAATAAGAAAAAAAAGAGGTAAATCCTAAATAAAAGCAATTTATTGCAAATGGAAAAAAGACAAATTCTATTCACAAAGAGATTATATTCAAGTAATCCTGCATCTTTAACCCAAGTTAACTGGTTGGCAAAAGCTGGAAGTGCTGAAGCTACATTGGACCATAACCTAAATTCTCTAAACTATATTTGCTTTATGGATTATTGGCCCAGCTACCCCCAAATTTGTGTAGCTTCTCTTTCAACCGTCTTTCAAACAGTTTTCAATTGGTGAAAACTAAAATTAACAAACTAAAACAGGACATAATGGAGCAGTTTTTTTGTGATATGACGTCAAGAAATAGACATTGTGATGTCAATATGTCATGTAGAACATCAAATTTAAAAAAAAAATTACGTCCAAAGCATTGTAATTTATACATTTATCAGAATGTAATGTCCATAACAAATTAACAATTATCAAAGCGTGAGAGATGAAAAAATGAAAGAAAGCAAGCTCCTTTTGGTTCAAATGAGAGATGGAAAAAAAATGAAGGAATCATTTCGAATGTAATGAAAGGGAAGAAACTTCTCCCCGGAAGGACGAAGACAGAACGTAACCATAATAACCCACGAATTATTCCGATTTGATGTTCTACAAACATGGACTGATCAAAGAGAACACAGAAAATATGACGAGGGAGAAGAAGGAAACAAGCTTACCATAGCCGAGGAGCGCAGAGTTGAGAGAGGCGAAGATGGCGCAAGCTATAACGTATTTCTTGTTATTGTTTGTCCGAGCTTGTTGATAATGAAGATTAGTAGGATCATCCTCATCTCTAAGCTCTGATTCCAACCTTCTGTATCTGTGATCTCCCAAGGAAACTTTAAAACTCATCTCTGTTATCTTACTTTCTATGATTGAAATAAGAGAAGAAACTGAGAGATAGTATTTTTCGGGTTTTAAAGTTTCATCATTCCAGATATGGAGAGGGGACAGAGAATTTCTCTGTGTGATTGAATTTATGGGTACCTATTTAATTTTGATTGTCATATGTTGGACCTTCCTTTTTCGCTGTAAGTAACGCTGTTTATTGAAAAAGACAGAGGTTGAATTGGAAAACATGAAAGCCCGATTTGAAGTCGTCATTCTATATTAAAAAATATGTTCTACGTACCAGGTGACAAGAAAAACGGAGATTTCTCCTCATGTAAAACAAAACGAGACTCAGCCGATGATTTCGATTTGTTTCTATGAATTCTTGGATTAATGGGTTTTGGAAATGAAGGAAAACAAGGTGACCAGACTTTTAATTTTGATCGTTAATCCTTTTGTGGGTTTATTTTTTATTGATTCCGTGTTTGTTGGAAGGCTTCTTGTAATTGTAAGTTGACGTACAGCTAGCTGTATCGGCATTTGACCCTTTAAAGTTGACTAAAAAAAGAAAAAAATGTAATAAATAAAATAAAACAAATAAATTGATCTAGAGAGTAGGGTTGTGTTTGGCACCGAGATATCTTGAATCCTATCCTGTAACTCAAAAGTGTAAATAAGAATTATTTTCAGAGTTCCAACTTCCAACTATGATGCCACAAATATAACTTATCAACCAACATCATTGAAGTGATGATTAATCATGTGGTTTTTTATTATAGAGAAATTATCTAAAATTCACCATGACTTTTCATCCAATCATACTTTCTCAAACATTGGATTTTTATTTTTCAAAACTCACTATTGATTGGTGTACAGTGACAGAAGTTATCCACATCAGTATAAATGTAATTTTTATGACCAAATTGAAGGAAATCTGTGCTAAAGCATATAACCGGCAAAAAAAAAAAAAATCTACATCATTCTTCAATGTGAGATTGAAAGTTGAAACCGAGTTCTTATCACATCATTAGTTGTCAAACCCTCTTACAAACACCCCCATTAGTTCTCCTTCATCTGACCACAATCTTCAATCACAACTCTTTCTGAAGTCGTCCCACTCTCTGAACCCACTTTCTCCATTGCCTTCACCATGCTGTAACCCTCCACTATCTGAAATCCCCACCTTAGCACATGGAGTTTGGGATAATGCAGTGGAAGGTTGAGCCTTTATAATGAAGTGGTTTTCCTGATATTCCAATCCCCTTCTCACCCATGCAGAGGCACCAGAAGTTCTCTGCAGTTTTAGGGTCCACATCTGCAAATAGCTCCATCACAATCTACCCGGCTTTAATCTTTCCAATAAGAATGTCAAAGAAAACTTTTGGGTTCAACATGGACTTTGCTTCAGTTGAAATTTCAACCAAGTATGGATTTCAGCATAAGGGTTTCTTCGTCAAGAGTCTTGAGATGCTTGGAGAATGCAAGTCAGCCTTATTAAACATATTTTTATATTCAAAATGGGTTGAATATAACAAAGAGTAAATTGTAATCTACTACCACCTTAGTCTGTTTAACATCAAATTACAGACATGGGTTCCCTATGATGAGTTTAAGAGAAATGCTAAAAATTCATGGTGAGTTTTAAACAATTCATCCAGGGGGTTTATTGGCCAAAGCTTCTTCCGTATCATGCATTTTTTACATCATGGACTTTTCCTTTCTTATTAATTATAGAAATAAAACAAAAAATTAAACTAACTTAAAAATAGAAGTGTATCTCCATTTGAGTGGTGGTCAATTGTCTAACTATTTGGATAAAATCAAAATGAATCAACTAATGATGTCATAATTAAATAACAAGAATTAAAAATAGACAAATATTTTTCTTTCTAGTCAAATGGTCAAAATATGATGTTATAATTATATAATAATAAAAACTCAAAATATATATATATATAGATATAAAATATAGAAAATACAAAAAATCTCAAAAAATTGTGCACATCTCTAATATTATATATTTAACAAATATTAAATAAATATATGTAATGAGTATTTTTATCAACAATGGAAATGAAATAAAAAAATAAATCTATAACTTAGTTTTTATAAAGTTATTAAAATTATTATTATTATTATTATTTAAAATTATCACGTACAATGTACATACACATTTAATTTAATGGTAGTCCTTGTAAAAGAAAATAACAACATAACCTCAAAATTTAGAATATCATTATATAGTGAAATTTATAATGGTACCATTATCACAAACAAAAATAAATGGCAAAGATGGAGCAACTTCATCATCTTAATACACTCGCCAAAGTCATGATGTGTTGTCGTGGATGAGAAAACAACTCAACCCAATAAAACTATGCATAAAAAAGAATAAAGAAAACAAAAGATAGAGACCCATTGATGAGAAGTCCATATCCGCTGTGAATACAGCTGCCTATAATGTGTTAGTAATTGTAGGCCCTATATGTACATAACACTGGTGCGTTCACTTGTGATAGGTTAAGTAACCTATGACACGGAGTTGAGCGTACAAAAAAATAGAGGTGTAATGTGGGTAGTGTTCGCCTGGCATTGCCCACGTTTTTGTATTGCCTGCATGGCCCATGTAGATTGGGAGTGGGGCCCAACACGAGCCCAGGCCTATAGCCCGTGGGTCTTAAGCCAGTCCGGCCCGTATTATTTCATTTTCTTTCTTTTTTGTTTTTACTATAAAAAAACAAAAATTCAAAAAATTATAATATATAATGAGAAGTAAAGGAAAAATGATAAATTCAATGATTGCAATAACAATTTGAAAAAAAAAATCATCTTAAAATTTTATTCCATATGAATAATCAATTCATACAATAAAAATTATTAAATGAAATTGACAATAAATTGAACAAATACTATAATAAAATGATTAAATGACATACTGGATCGGGCTGGCCTAGCACGCGGGCCATTCCGGCATGAGCCCACACAGGCCAATCCAGACATTATTTTTAGATGACATCACTACAATAAAATTGACCACCAATCGTCAAATTTGGCCACTACCGGTAAAACACAAAAAACTGCTACTAGAAATCGAATTTAGCGGCAATTAATAGCTGCCACTAAAGGCAAATTTCTAAGCGGCAGTTTGACCTTTAGCGACAACAACGACTGCCACTAAAGGGTGCACCGACTGCCGCTAGAGATCTACAATGGTCCCATTTAGTCACAATGAAGTTACAAGTAATCTCCTTGAGTCAGCACAACCACATAGTTCCATAGTGCCCCCGAGTGTGTATGGAGCTCTTGCCCCACCTTGGTGGGAATTTTTCCATTAACAGTTTATTTGTCCACTTGTGGACAATGTAGATTTCTCCATCCATGGTGATGATGCGTGATCTGGTAGTTCCTCTGCTGGCTGACAATTTAGAAGTTGACTTGTATGGTTTCCTTATTTGGGCCGAGCTAGAGATGTCTGACCTATATAATTTTCTGAGAGACCTACAGGGAAACAATATTAGCCAAGTTGTTTTGTTCTGCAAGAGAGACAGAGTTAGAGTGCCCTGGTGTCTTTACCCGGGGAAGGCACTCCGATACTTAAGTCAGAGAGTGTTTTGAAAGTATTTTAGAAAGTGAGAGAGCTTAAGAGCTTGTAATCACGCATACCTTTCTTGGATGGATCTGGATGCCTTATATAGTCACTGGGGGGCTCAGGGCACTTTGATAACGGCCCTAAGCTTCTAGCAGAGCTGTTTCCGCAATATAGGGCGTATTAATGTGTCAGTTGCGAGTTCCTCGTGGGGGTTACGATCTGTCTAAGTAAAGTTGAGGTGCGCAACACGGTGAGCCATTCTAACGGTTGCGCTATCGGCGCCTTTGGTAGCGAACTGCTAGGGA